CCCGTACCCCATCAGCAGGTCGTTATGGTAGGGGTTATGCGGGTCGCCCTGTTCATTCAACTCTTCCAGCAGCCGGCAGTACTCCAGCTCCACCTGCACCTCAGGAGCCTTACTATGCACCTCCAGTTTCTAGCGCGCCTCCTGCGCGGGGTGTTTCCAGAGGTCAGTCCAGCAGGCCTAGTCCCAGCCAGTCACAGCCACCGCGTCCTCCCAGAGCTTGTTTCAAGTGCGGTGATACACGCCACATGGTTAGGGACTGCCCCAGACTTGGTAGGGGTGCATCTTCACAGACTGCTCAGCCGCAGCGTGCTCCTCAGAGTTCTCAGGCCATTATCATAGCTCCAGCAGCTACCCCACCTGCCCAGCCGGCTAGGGGCGGAGGTCGGGGAGATAGAGGTCACCCTCTATAGAGGGGCCGGGCCAGATATTATGCTATTCCTGCTCGTACTGAGGCTGTTGCCTCCGACTCCGTCATTACAGGTATTATTCTGGTTTGTCACAGAGAGGCGTCGGTTCTATTTGATCCGGGCTCTACTTACTCTTATGTGTCTTCTTACTTTGCTCCTCATTTGGGTGTGCCTCGGGATTCTTTGAGTGCCCCCGTTTATGTTTCTACTCCTGTGGGAGATTCTCTTGTTGTGGACCGCGTTTATCGGTCATGTTTGGTTACTATTCATGGTTTTGAGACCAGAGCAGACTTATTATTACTCGGTATGGTGGATTTTGACATTATTTTGGGCATGGACTGGTTGTCGCCCCATTTTGCTATTCTTGATTGTCACGCCAAGACCGTGACGCTGGCCATGCCAAGTATTCCGCGTGTTGAGTGGAGTGGTACCTTAGATCATACTCCCAGTAGAGTTATCTCTTTTCTTAAAGCTCAGCGCATGGTTAAGAAGGGGTGTGCCGCGTATTTGGCTTATGTGAGAGATGTTAGTGTTGATACCCCTTCTGTTGATTTTGTTCCAGTGGTACGGGATTATCCCGATGTATTTCCAGCTAATCTTCTGGGCATGCCGCCTGATAGAGACATTGATTTCGGCATTGATCTGTTGCCGGGCACTCAGCCCATTTCCATTCCTCCGTATCGTATGGCTCCTCCTGAGTTGAAGGAGTTGAAGGATCAGTTGCAGGAATTGCTTGGTAAGGGTTTCATTCGACCTAGTGTTTCACCGTGGGGTGCTCCTGTTTTGTTCGTGAAGAAAAAGGATGGCTCTATGTGCATTTGTATTGACTACCGCCAGTTGAACAAGGTTACAGTGAAGAACCGTTATCCTTTGCCTCGCATTGATGATCTGTTTGGCCAGCTTCAGGGCGCACAGGTGTTTTGTAAGATTGACTTGCGCTCAGGATACCATCAGTTAAAGATTCAGGAGCCAGATATCCCGAAGACTGCCTTCAGGACTCGATATGGCCATTACGAGTTCCTTGTCATGTCATTTGGGCTGACCAATGCCCCTGCAGCTTTCATGCATTTGATGCACAGTGTGTTCAGGCCATATCTTGACTCGTTCGTGATTGTTTTTATTGATGATATTCTGGTGTATTCCCACCTGAGGACCGTGCTACAGACCTTGAGGGAGAAAAAGTTATATGCAAAGTTCTCAAAATGTGAGTTTTGGCTGAGCTCTATGGCATTCTTAGGCCATGTGATTTCTAGTGAGGGTATTCGGGTGGATCCGAGGAAGGTAGAGGCCGTGCAGAGTTGGCCCAGGCCGTCCTCAGCTACAGAGATTCGCAGTTTCCTTGGCTTGGCGGGTTACTACCGTCGTTTCGTTGAGGGATTTTCATCGATTGCTGCCCCTATGACTAGATTGACCCAGAAGGGTGCCCCATTTCAGTGGACAGAGGAGTGTGAGGTGATGATAGGCTATAATTGCATATTCTAGTCGCTTATTACACTCGAATTTACTGCACTTTAATTGAGTTTGCGCTTTAATCGTTAGTGTTTTGCACTAATTGTGTGTTTTATGCCTTGTAGGTGTGATTCCAAGCTATATAGATGTTATGGAATGAATTTATGTGATTTGAAGCTTTGAAGTCTGAGTAAAAGCTCAAGGAATTAAGCCGGGATCGTGTTCGGGGGTCAAATTTGATAATTAAGTACGAACGAAGACTTGAGGAGGCATATTGCGCACTGTCTAGTAAAATAGACATCACTTTTTTCTCAGAACTCCATTTGGGCTCCACAATATATGATTGGAAAGCTAACTCAAAGGGCTACAACTTTCATGTTTTACGTTTTTCCAAAGTCCAAACGGAACAGGGTGAAAAACCGCGGTTTTACCGCGACCACGGCGGAACCGCGGTGGAAGGCAGTTTCTGAAGAATGAAGAATCCGCGAGGGCGTTTGGCCGCGGTTCCACCGCGATCGCGGTGAAACCGCGGTGGGAAGCATAAATTTCAGGGGCTAAAGTGTAAAACATGGGATTTTAAGTCCTAAACCCTATATAAAACAAAGGAGGCCGGCCTAGAACAAGAAGAGGACATATTTTGGACACAAATTAGACCTAAGGAGGCGGAGAGACACTACTTTAGGGTTAGACAACACCCTTGGAGGCAAGAACACATTGGGAGCAAGGCGGAGAATTCTTCTACGAGTTTTTCCTTCCTCTTCCTATTTTTCATTGTTGGTTATGACTTTTAGTATTGTAGTTTTACATACTATTATGAATAGCTAATTTGTTATCTAGAGTTTTGATAGAACCTTTTGTAGGATAAATTCTTGTTATGTTTTTATATAATTGAGCCATAGCTTTTCTCTATTTGTTCAACTACGTTTATATTGTGGTTGATTGAAGAGCTCTCAATTAGTTGTGCCTATTTAGTATGCATAACTCGGGAGAGAGTGCATATTTAGGTAATTGTTGAACACACCACTCCCAAAGTATATGAGGGATCAATAACCGAGGGTTTAAAGGCGGGATTAGGGATAACGAAGCCTTGGGTGCGATCTAAAGTGAGTTGTATTAAAAGCCAGCTAGCGTATCTCGGGAGAGTGCGTCTAGTAAATTATCGTAATTACTCGGAAGAGATTTACGGTAATAAGAGTGCTCATGATCGGTAGAGAATACTTAGGCGAAATTATAGAAGACATAGCAGGAAGGATTCCGACAATTGGGGAAATCATAACTCTAGACCTCCTTAATCTTTTCTCTAACCCTCAGTATCTTTAGTTGTTAATTTACTATTTTAATTTGTTAGTTAAGTAGTTAAACACAAGAATCTTAATATCTATAAGTTAGGAATTGTTCAAGCTTGTCTTCTCGGTGATAGTGAACAGCTGTAGCTAAACCTCAGTTCTCTGTGGGATTCGACTCCGGACTTGTAAACCGGATTATATTTGCAGCGACCGCATTGTCCTTTTTATAAGGCATAGTTGGGCGTGATCATATACTTAGTGTATATTGAACGGACCGAGTAGAGAAAAGATATTTTTGTACTAAATATATATAAAACATTTTCTCTAATTCATTAAATGAGCTTATACTCCTAATCTTGATATAATTATTATGATCGATGTGATTTGTTTATTGTTTTGATTTATAAAAAGGTACAACTCTATTCGGAGTTAGTGTACGCCTAATAGATTGGACAATAACGAATAGCATTTGTGAAATAATAATTAGTTGACAGAATCCATGACTCGGTTTTGAGTTTGATGATATATGTAAGCTTATAAGTTTTCATGTGAAAATCCAGCCGGTGAATTTTGTATCCATCACATGAAATAGTTTAAGCGGAATTATAAAGGATTTAATTAGTTAATTAAATTAAATTGTTAGTGATTTAATTTAGTTAATTGGTATTTGTGACCTTAACATGGGGAGTTAAAATAAGTGTTAGTGAATTTTCGAAATTAATATTGAGGAGTTCAATTGCAGTTTCTTAGTGGAATAAATTGCAATTAATTATAGTAGGAATTAATTCATCCAAATTTTTGAGTTAATGCTATAATTAGTAGCCTCTTATTATTTTTTTGGTCCCTTCTATGCCTAGTAAAAACCTCGACTGACTTGGAGAAAAAGTCATCATGTAGAGTTAGAGTAGGATTCTACTTCACAAGCAGAATCCTACACGTTTTTGGAGCTCTCTTTGGCTGAAAAACAAGTCTACATAAGGAAGACGTTTTTCACGCAATAACTTACTTTTTCAGAGTTGTATTGTTCTTGCCAACTCAAAGCAATTTCGTCCAAGGTCTTACTTGGACCATAGCAGCCCTGGATTCTTGCTCTGTGGAGGACCTGTGCAACGATTTCAAGAGGTTAGTGCTTCTAATCTCGTAATTATATCATTGTCTAGTTTACATGTATGTGATGCCTGAATTGTATGCTTGCTTCCACTGCGCATGTTCTAACATAAACTTGTTCAGAAAAGTCATTTATACACTTTACTTTACCGGCAACCTATTATCATCTTATTTTTGTTTGAAGTGAATTTATTTTCCGCTCAAAAAGTGACGTGGTAAAGAATGTGTTATCACATTCCTATATGCGCGCAAAGTTGAAAACTAACTGAACTATATACATGTCATCTTTCTATTGGATGTTGTCAACTCATTATATATAATTATTTGTTCTCAATATTTAGGGAGTTGTCCATATTTTTCGGACAAATTTAAAGAGCAATTTATGTATTTTTCCTATATACTATATTAACTTATCAAACTTTTTAAAGTATTCCAACAAAAATAGTTTACTCCGTTACAGAGTAAATAAAAGAAGTACTACTAAGGAGAAAAAGAGAAACGAATATCAAAAATACCAGAAGTCTAAGCTAGAATAGTCCAAATAAGAAATTGGCGTTATTTCACGTTTCCAGAGTAAATTTTCCTTGCCACGTGAATGGGCCCTATTTATAAGAAAAATGTGCAGGCAAAATAATGTCATCAATGAGGTGTCTGTCCTCTTTCTTCTCTTTTTTCTTGTTTTCTTCTTCTTTTAAATAATTCTTACCTGCAAGATTTATTATAGTAATTATAGGAAAATAAACACATATTATTATTTATGCTGTAATTTTGAAATTATTTTTTTTTTACCATACGAAATTACATGAATAACTAGTTTATACTTATCATAGGACCAGAGGAAACAAGGGAATCCAAGCAATGCCAAAACTAAACCTCAGTTCTCAAGTAAATTAAAAACCCTTCCAAAGAATCCACATGACTTCATCCCCTTCATTTCTCTTGGGTGGGGTTTTCTTCTGAGAAACATATAAATAGCAAAAAGATTTTGCTGAATTAAAATTAATGTACAGAACTTTTTATCTTTGTTAACTATTAGTTGTATCGTAGGAAAGAAAGAGATATGGGGGGAGGAAAAATTATTGGGATGGTGATGTTTGTGGCTGTGGTTGTATCAGCAGCAGCAGGTTATGGTGATAATCAGCAGCTGCAGCAGCAGCAGAAATGGTGGAAATGGATGTCTACTGGTTCTGCAGCGTCTTCATCAGTGGTCAAACCAGTTGTCTCTTCTTCAATTGTCCTACCACTCTATGGTAATGTCTATCCCATTGGTTATTACTATGTTCAGCTCAATATAGGACAGCCTTCAAAGCCGTATTTTCTTGATCCTGACACCGGCAGCGATCTCACATGGCTGCAATGTGATGCTCCCTGTGTTCGCTGCACAAGAGCGCCTCATCCATTCTACAAACCAAACAATGACCTCGTGCCGTGCAAGGACCCCCTCTGTGCCTCCTTGCATCATGTTGATTACAAATGTGAGAGTCCAGAACAATGTGACTATCAGGTTGACTATGCTGATGGAGGTTCATCGCTAGGTGTCCTACTTAATGATGTGTTTCACTTCAACGGGACAAGTGATGCTCGGATAATACCTCGTTTGGCTCTAGGGTGTGGATATGATCAGTTACCTGGTCAATCTCATCATCCTTTAGATGGAGTGCTTGGGCTTGGGAAAGGAAAAGCCAGCATTGTGTCTCAGCTTCACAGCAAGGGTCTGGTGCGGAATGTGGTAGGCCATTGCTTGAGTGGCAGAGGAGGAGGTTTTCTCTTCTTTGGAGATGAGGTCTATGATTCCTCACGCATCGTCTGGACTCCTATGGTGCACGATCGCATGAAGCACTATTCAGCAGGATCTGGAGAACTCATATTTGGTGGTAAAGCCACAGGATTCAAGAACCTTTTTGTAGTCTTTGACAGTGGAAGTTCCTTCAGCTACCTAAACTCACAAACATACCAAGGCTTCATTTCATTGTTGAAAAAAGAACTGAATGGGAAGCCACTAAAAGAAGCAAATGATGACTATACACTCCCATTGTGCTGGAAGGGCAGGAGACCTTTCAAAACCATAAATGATGTGAAGAAATACTTCAAGAACTTCGCACTTAGCTTTCCCCATGGATGGAAATCCAAAGCTCATTTTGAAATTCCCCCTGAATCATATCTTATTATCTCATCAAAGGGCAGTGTCTGCTTGGGGGTTCTAAATGGTACTGAAGCCGGCCTGCAAAATGTCAACCTTATTGGAGATATATCAATGCAAGATAAAATGGTGATCTATGACAATGAGAAGCAAGCAATAGGTTGGAGCCCAGCAAATTGTGACCGGCCACCAAAGTCGAATAACATGATAATGTAATCAAGCTAAGACTAATATTTTATTCTTCGGTTTGTGTTACCTTTTCATTTTTATCATTCTATTGGCATATGCTTTCATCAAGAAATGGGGAATAATAATAATAAGTATCCCTTTTGTATAACAGAAAATGAAAATTTCTGGTTTATCGAAGAATGATTATCATAAAATCAAAGAATGAGAAAAGAGGCAAACTAACATACAAGGTGAACACTCAATTATTTCTAAACCTGTTAGCTTCACAGGTTAAAGAGAGAGGATTCTAGATTACCTTTTAGTCTTTCCAGTCAAGCTCAGCATCTCTCGACCTTCACACTCTATGATGAGGCAATCAAGACACGGAGAGGTTATATGAGTAATATCCGCTGCTGGATGATCATTGTTAAAGATGGTTGGTGCTTGATTAAGACGTATAAAACTACTCTAGCTGAAAGAATGATCCCATATTTATGAAGTGAATGCCTCTCTATAGGCCAAAATAAACCAGCTAGGCAGCTTAAGTTTCAAAAGATAGGTTTTTGTCAGATGCAACATTCTGAGTTCTACGGTGTTGCTCCAATTCAGTATCCAGAAACGAAATGAATATCCTTTTACCCTTGGTGGGGTTCCATCGTATGCATGTGGAGATTTTGAACTTTAGAAAAGCTTAATCCCTTTTGTGCAATGAAAGATACAATCTTATACCACATCATTGCAAATTGCCACATGATATAACTCTCCATCTCTGTCCACATCATTTTCACTATCCACCAAGATCTCAGCGCAAAGGTGCTTCCCTAGAGTCATGCAAAAAAAACTTCTTTTTCTACTCACTTGTTATCATTAAATTTGCTCCAAAACATAGATGAGTCAGATTCAGACCCTAAATATCACTTCAAGCACACCCATACAGCAAAGCAAAAATAAAGAATTGAAGCAGATCTTGCTTGTTGTTTAAGAATCAATATCGAATTCAGTTTGTTTCGTCGGTGCTACTATACCTATCCATTTAGCAGCTATTACTTCCAGTTGCAACTTATGCATAACCTTTATACCATGTATCCTTTGTCAGTAGCCTCAACGTAGAATAAATGTCTATGTCCTTACTGCCACGACTAAGAATTTCGTTAGCTTGGAAGATCTTTACACAGTTGTGTACACTAATCCAACTGTAACTAGTTACTTTCTTTTCAACTCTCTCTTTCATTACCTTCCTGACCCGAACAAGGCTCTCCCATCTTCCCCTGGACTCGTATACTTGCGCTAGCACCAAATAAGGCAGAGATGACTCCGGCGCTAACTCCATTATCTTTCCAGCAACTTTTTCAGTTTCTTTCAAGTCTCCATAAATATCACAAGCAAGCAGTATTGACTCCCATATTTCACTGTTGGGCTCATGAGGCATATTTTGTATTATATCCCCGGCTTCTTTAAGTTTACCAGCTCTGGTCATCATGCCCACAACACAAGTGTAGTGCTCGATGCCAGGTCTAACTCCATATTCCTCTTCCATTGAAGAAAATATAGCTATACCTTCATCAATAAATCCACCATAGCTGCAAGCTAACAGAACAGCAGCCAACGTAATTCGATCTGGTTGACCACCGACTTCAAGAAGTTCATAATAAAGGCTGAGTGATTTGGTAAGTTCACCATTGATAGCCAACCCAAAGATCATGGTGTTCCACGATATCAAATCTCTTGCCAGTAGGTCATTGAAAATATTTGAGGCAGAGTCGATCAACCCATATTTACAATACATATCTACAACTGAACTGGAAACAATGGGATCTGATACAAAGCCTAACTTGATGACCAAAGAATGAGCTTGAATTCCCATCTCCATAGGGAAGGTTGTAGCACAGCTAAGAATGCAGCTGAGTGTAAACTCCGTAGGCCTAATATTCTCCCTCAAAGTTAGGACAAATACACGCAAGGCATTTTCTTCTAAACTGTTCAGTGCATAGCTCGAAATCATAGAATTGCACAGAGCTGTGTCCCAATGATTTGAATCCTCAAATATGCGAACTGAATCCTCAATTCTGTTGCAGTTAGAAAACAAGTCAATTGCTGCACTTGAAACAATTGTGTTGCACAAAACCCCCATCTTTACGCAAAGACATAAGATTTGCTTACCCTTATCCAAACTGCGCAATTTAGAACAGCCAATAAGCACTGATGACATTGTGAACTCATCCGCTGAATATATACAAGCTCTCATCAAACAAAAATAAGACAGAGCTGTATCTTCATGCCCTGATTTACAGCAGACTGAAATCAACGAATTCCATGAAACAACATCCACCTCCTCCATGGACAAAAAGACACCAGTACCATAGTCCACTAGCCCAAGGTTTCCATACATATCAATCAGTGAATTCCCTACCACCACATTAGACAAATCAACACCACTCCTTAGCATGTTTCCATGTATTTCCTTGCCATGAAAAGCAAACTGCACACTCGAAATCAGAATCGAGAAAGTATATCCACTAGGCCTAATACCATAGTTTTGCATTTCCAAGAAACCACCAAAAGCAACCTCAAACAACCCGTGTGAAGCATAACCCGAAATCATTGAATTCCAACTCACAACATCTCTGTCAGGCATTTCATCGAACATCCGGCGTGCACTGTGCACATCACCAGACTGAACAAACACTTTTAAACACATGTTCCAGGACACAACATTCTTGTTTGGTATTTCGTCAAAGACTTTTAAAGCATAACTTTTTGCTCCATGTTTGCTATACAAATCAATGCAACAATTACCCAGAAAAGTGTTCCTGTTGAAACCAAGTTTTATCAATTTACTATGAAGTATTTGGAAAGATTTAAATGAGTTTCTGTACGAGAGGCACTGTGTTATGAGGCTTGAATAAAATGAAAGTGTATGCGTGTGGTATCTGTAAGCTCTTTGTACAAAAAGGTACATGCAAATAATATGAGTAAAGTACAAATAGAGAAAGCTAAAGCAAACATGTCAATGCCCACAAATCTCATTTGGTCTTGTGGATTCTTGGTCAGACTCTTCTTCCATGTCCGAGAAATTTCGATATTCCTTGGGCGAAGGGTAAATACTCTCCATTCCCGTACTCGCTAGTTTAAAGGAGAAAAATGAACTTTAACCTATGCTCTCTAGTCTGTTTCTTAAGTATATTGTTTAACCTTTGATATATTAAGAAATCATAATAGTATCAATTATAAGAATTATTTGGTTGAATTATCCTTGTTCAGGTACGAGTCTAGTAATAAAGTCATCTTTGGTAGAAAAAGCTTTATTTTTAAAGCGGAATTTTTCGATTCAAATCCTATTAGTTGTGCCTCAAAATGACTAATGGACACCGAATAAAAAATAAAATAAAAAGGAAATTAATTTAACTATCGCGCCTAAAGCAACTACGCACTTTCAAGTTTGCGAGAGCCATGGAAAATTCAACTAGATGGCACACCTCAATTTCTAAAGGATTAAAATTAATTAAGTGAGGGCCACGGGTTTTGAGATTTTATTTGGCATGGCACGCCTCAAATTATTCTAACAAAAGAGTTTCTAAATTTAATTTTGAGGGCCATAAATTGTACGTTTGGCTAATATGGCACACCTCAAACCAATTTTAGGAGTCTAATTAATTAAAGAAAAGCCTAAGGGAATTCTAATTATTTTAAACCAATGCTCAAACTTAACCTAATAATTAGTGGATTTGTATGAAATTGAAAATAAGCATTTGGTCGCCTGGAGGGATGAAACCAGCAGCAGGCCCAACATTTTTCTTGTTGCATTTATGTGTCCGGACACAAGGAAAGGATTGGGCTCACGTAAAGCCCATACCGCGTAAGCGAAAAGCGGAACAACATTTTATAACTGGGCCAAACGCTGCAGCCCAGTTACATGATTCAACGTCAATTAATGGATGCAAACTACATTTCTTCATGAAACTCTGAAGATTAAAGTGATTACTGACAAACTTACAGCTTTGGACAAACACAAGGCACATTCATGATGCTAAATTTCATTCCAAAATTAAATGTAACCCTGATGCTACAATAATTCCTACACAACAACCTTATCTCTTGAAATCTAGCAGAGTTCATAACAGTAAACATGGTTCCCAAATAAAGAAAAGCATTTGATAATATGAAACCCCACACGACAATTCTGATTTCATGCTTAACCATGTCACTTTAACGAATTCAAACCAATCCCCAAAAACAAACACTGACTCTAATAACTTGAATAAATATGAAGCAAGAGTATGTAGCTTAGCTTAGAACTTCTATTATAGTAATCTCATAATCCATACATGTCCAAATAACCACTTCAATAGCTTTGTAAACTAACATGTGAAATTTAAACCTTCTATATACCAGATTTAAGCTAACAACATAAATAAACTAAAATTGAATGCAGGAAGAGAAAATTGAACTTCTAAAGAATTAAGTGAGTTCAAAAGCATAGAAGAGACATTTGGTATTCACAAAAGCCATAGATTTCCAATTCAGTCTACAACTGCAGATCCTTTCATCATGCCAAGTAAGATTCAGTAAATACCTGGTTACATCAATCAAAAACAGGGAAAGTGAGCTTGAAATTTAAGAGAAAAGCAGCAACAGTAAGCAGTAATGGAACAATGACTAAACAGCTAATCACAACCAGCTTTCAAATCAACTTAAGCCATTTTTAACCCAGATGCATGACTTGAAAACTTTTAGAAAAACTCCAATCAAACAGAAAGAATCCACAGAACCAGAAGCCAAGACAATTTCCAGCAAATTTCAGTATTTTTGAGTTTCTAAGAGGCTCCTACCGTTACTAAAATCTTCAGTGTTTCTTTTTAGTCTCTAAAATTCTAAAACTCTGACTTGATAGTGAAGAAATGGCCTTTTGTAGTGAAGTTTTAGGGCAGCAGAATGTGTTCAGATTTTTGCCCTTCACTCCTTTTGGAATTTTCGGTTTTGCTTCTATGCCCTTAATTTAAAATCAGTTTTTCAAAATCAGCCCCAAACCCACCTTCCAGGAAGCTTCCCAAGTCAGTTATAAATGATTCCCTAACCTAAATTCTCTAAATTAACCCTTAAACCCTTATCAATTACCCCAGCCTACCTTATGGGTCAAGTTTGACCCAAGACTTAAAACCAAATGAATGGGCTGCTCTTTGAAAATGGGTCAAAGTTGACCCCAAGGCCCAAACCAAAATCAAAAATCTATTTTAGCTATTTCAATGAGAAACAGAAGAAAATAATCACTTTGAGTGATTTCAAAACTAAAAATATAACCTAAGTGACTGATTAATAACACAAATAGGTATAGAATTAAGTAGGTTATTAAATTGAAACGACCTAATTAAATCGACTATAAAACTAAAACAAGAGAGACAAAATCAGGATTTTAACATGACATGAATAAAAGCTAATAGGCCAATGAGTAACCAACAAAAATCAGAGAACAAGCTTTTAAAATTTGAAAAGAAAACTGAACAGCAAACAGCAGAAATACGAACACAAAATTAATCTAAAGGGAAAACCTAGGTTTGAGCCTTGCTCAATTTCCAGTCGACTTAAAGAAAAGGAGAAGAAAAGAAAAGGGATAGGAAGTGAAATAACAAAAAATGGACAGAAAAAAATGAAGAAAACTCACCGACTAAACTTGAAATCGATACTGACACTCCGATTTAACCCAAAATAATGTTAATCGCTTGTTCTTTGTCAAGAACAAGCGAACATCATTGTTTTTGTGATAAATCAGCCTTGAACACATAGGGAATTCGGGGATTAGACCCTGCATGCCACCAACCCGAGGGTAGGCGTTTTGGGCTTTTAGGGGTTCGAACTTAGATTCAAGATTCGAAGGGTTCTGGAAAGATTCGAGGGAAATTAGTTAGGGATTGGGAAAGGGGATACTGTGAGGGTCTTGTGGTGTAGATTTGGGGTGGCGCCGCCGGCTAGAGATGGTGGAGAATTGGGACGGCGCTCTAGGGTTCGATGAGGTCTCTGAAGGTGAAGGAATGAGAGAGGAATTGAACCGGGGAGGGGGGGGGGGGTAAGGCCATTAGGACAATTATATACTGTCAAACACATTTGTTCCCCACCGTTTGATTTGATCAGATCAACGGCTGCCATAGAGATGCTGTAAACGGGGTCGTTTAGTTAACTGAGTTGGGCAGACCGGGTAGGGGACACAGGTTTGGGCCTGGTTGAACGGGTTTCAGGGGAAAAATAATTTTGGACCTGGGGAAATTAATTGAATTGGCCCAAAAATCAGACTTCTTTATTTCTTTTCCTTTTTTTTTCATTTTCCAATTTTCTTTCTTTTCTTTTTTCAAATTGAAATAAATCTAAACTAACTCTTAAAAATTAAATTAACCTACCAAATTATATTAAAAACTTCACATAATATTAAAAAAAAATTAAATAACTCCTAAATTAAAATAAAAGCTACAAAATTCAAAATTAAAAAGTTAAAATGCAACATGAACTATTTTTGTGATTTTTTCATATTTTATAAAACAACTAAATTACTAATTAATCTAAAAAATGTAAAATTAAATCCTAAATGCAAATGCAATGTATTTTTGTATTTTTCATGAATTGAATAAAATTAAACGTGCACACAAAAATGCAAACAATTAGAAAAGTTCTACAGTAATCCCTAAAATAACAAATAATTAAAAGAAAATCTAATTCTTTTGAATTCTGTAGGAGTAATTCATGTGAGGCAAAAATCACGTGCTTACAACAAGGATTATTGAAGGCAATTGATGAGGATTTTCCTGAAGAGATGAAGGAGATAGAGAAGGCATACTTGGAGGGGAGGGCTTTGAGTGCGATCTTCATGAGCGTTACAGATAGCGTTCTTCGGAAAATTGCTGAAGAAACTTCTGCAGCAATGACATGGAAGAAGCTGGAAGATCTGTATTCTAAGAAATCGCTAACAAACCGCTTCTACCTGAAAAAGAAGTACAATCTCCGTATGAATGAATGTACACCTGTTAAAACTCACATTGATTAGTTTAATTCAATTATAATGGACCTGGAGAATGAGGATATCAAAATTGAGAGTGAAGATCAGGGCTTGATTGTGTTATGTTCTTTACCACTGTCTTATGATACTTTTGCCGATACGCTGCTATATGGGAAAGACAACATTTCACTAGAAAATGTTAGTAATGCATTAAAATCTAAGGAGTTGAAAAAGAGCTTTCCAGGAAGCAGAATTGAGGGCAAGGGTCTTGTGATTAGAGGAAGAACACAACAAAAGAACTTTAACAGGAAAAAGTCAACCGGCAGATCAAAGTCCAGAGCAAGGAAGCAACACTGTTATAAGTGCGGGGAGCAAGGTCACCAAAAGAGAGATTGTCCTAAGCTGAAAGAGAAAAGAGGGAAGCAGAAAATAGATAATTCGGCAAATATTGTTGACACTGGCAATAATTCTGATGTAATGACTATGTAGGGGAAGTCTGTGCTGTGAGTTCTAGTCATGGGCAGAATTCTTGGGTTCTTGTTTTTGGTGCGACTTTCCACATGTGTCCACATAAAAATTGGTTTGCAACTTACAAGCAAATGAGTGAGACTGTCTATATGGGAGATGATAATCCATTACCAGTAGAGGGAGTTGGTAACATCAAATTGAGAATGTTCGATGGAATTATCAGAAACATTGAGTGTTGGCATGTTCCTACGATAAAGAGAAATTCGACTTTGGATGATCAAGGGTATAAATTTCACTCCGAGAATGGAATACTTAAAGTGTGTAAATGTTCCATGGTACTCATGAAGGGTAAACTTCATTCTAAATTGTATCATCTTCAGGCCAGTGTAGTTGAAGGGGAAGCTGCTGTAGCTTCTGGGAAAAGTGATCTGAATTAGTCTCAGTTGTGGCACTTGTGACTTGGCTATATGAGTGATAATGGGTTGTCTTTGTTGAGTAAGCAGAATTTGCTGAATGGGTACAAAAATGAAGTTTTGAATTTTTGTGAGCATTGTGTGTTTGGTAAACAGACAAGGGTAAAGTTCATCAAGAAGGCCGAGCACAAAACAAGAGACAAGTTAGATTATATACACTCTGACTCGTGGGGTCCAAACAGAGTTCCCTCGAAGAGTGGTGCCAGATATTTTATGACTTTGATTGATGATTACTCAAGGA